TAATGATGCAGCAGAGTTCAAGCCCTGACTCCAGGTTTCATATAAATCAGCCTGGAAAATAGAACAAGAAGTTTTCTCAACTGCTCAAACCCACCAAGTGGTTTTCTCTACAAGCCACTGCTAATCTGCAGCCTGTGTGATCATTACTGGGAAAGAACCTTTCCTTTAACACCAATTCAAAGAGCAACTTCAAGGGATGTGGGAAAAGCATTATTCGTATAGCCATCACCTAATACTGACAAAACATCCCCTCTCCTTAGCTCACAAAATGCCAGACCAGGAGGCAACTCTGCACTGGGCAGTTCTTAAGCAGCCAATGAAGAGAGCAGGATTCTGCTATTGTGGCTGGGCCAAAAAGGTCCCTGCATGGCAGATTTTGCAAGCCAGAGCTACATGAAGATGTCACACTGCTTCCTCCCCAGCCGTGCACGGGGTACTATTCCATATGCTTCCCTGCATATGGTTCTCTTCTTGCTAATACCAGTGCATACTGGTCCGACAATGCTAATGAGATGACTGGCATGGAGTTGTGGGGTAAAGTCTACATTTGAATTATAATAGTAAATTAATACTGCATAACCAGTAAACTCTGTGACAGTCCCATTTACCCAGATCACATGGAAGCCCTGTGCGTGGATTACTGCCAATTAAAGCTACTGCTCGGCAGTGAGGATGCTACGGAGAGAAGAAACCAGACTGTAGCAACACAGTTCCTCAGCTGCTGAAACCCACAAATTTCCATTAAGTTTATGAAAGGTAGTTCTGAGATTTTACCAGGGAGAGGGGAAGATAATTTGGGGCGGAGGAGCGCAGTCCACGGTGCCCTGTTTCTGTGTCCCACAGCCAGCAAGGGCAGTGGTTCTTCATGGCAATGCTGGTATCCTACAAGTTTGTTTCTCCTTTTGCCTGGCACACCTCGGTGCTGTTAATCTCAGGTAAAGGGCTGGTGGCAACAGCTGAAAATGATGCACTAAACATACTACCATGGACACTCTTTTAACTTTTTACTATGCACATATGCTTCGCTTTCTCCACTCTGCCCCATGATACTCTGCATGACTTGAACTTGTCACTGGCCAACCAACTTAGTATTTTCAACCAAGCGTCCTGCTCAGCTCTCCTACTGGGTGCCGTCACCAGACATGGGTGACCCACAGCAGCAGATGACAGTGGTAAACAGAGGAGGAGAAGGGTAGGTCTGGGAGGTAGCTTGAAGGGTGGAGGGGAAATGTGAAAATTGCAACAAGCTGCCTGAAAATCTCATTGTGGTAATTTTTGTTAAGTATTCACACATGCACACATGCACATGCACAACAGTATTTCACAGTGTCAATGTTAGCAAGTGCCTTTTCCCCTTGTTAAGTGTCCTCGGCATGAAGTTGAATTTTATCATTAAACTCATATTTCATAGCAGTACATTTGATACCCATGGAACAAATATGTTGAAGTCACTTCAGTGACTCCACTCCCTCCACTGAAGCATGCTCCAGAGGCACTTAAAACCAAAGTACTTTACAGGAACTTTGTTCCTCACGCTCTCAAGAGAACTTGAGGGATGCAGAAAATTGCAGTGTTTTATAGATCATTGCTATTTTAGATCCAGTTCTCCATCAGTCTTACACAGTCAAATACAGACAGATCTCACAACAATGCCTGGTATAAACAGATGGGAATGGGAATATGTGACTTTTAGTACCAACACCATGTGATTTTTGGTCAGAAGAAGAAACAAGGATGTGCTTTCTCTGTCCGGCAGACAGCTGCCACAGCTTCGGTAAGTTGTGGCACTGAGCTTGGTATGGTCCTGTCCTTCACAGTGGGCTGGGTCTGGTAGGTAGATGTGTTTAATGCTAGCCAGCGAGGAGATTCAGTGCATTAAGACAAAATGTCTCCAAATGAAGAAGACCTGAAGTGCCCTTCCAAGCCCTGTCTAATAATGACTGGCTCTGAAGGGATGCTGCCTGGCCATTGCTCCTCCTTAGTGTCTGCAGGAATGTAAGGGATGGCAGAGAACAGTCAAGAATTGTCTGGGAAGGACAAATGAAGGGCATCATGTGCTCCTTCCACATGGCTGCCTCACAGGAATTTGCTGGTGAGTTTTCTAGACAGACGGCTCTCCTTGCAAAGCTCTCTTGTACATAAAGTAGTCGATCGGCTGTGGGTAGACAACTTGGCACAGCACCATGCTTCCCTCACCCGGGACTGCCCCCAGACAGCTTCAGACGTGCCTTTGGGAAAGACCGACAACTGTTCCTTGTCAAAGCACTGCAGCGACAATGTGAGATGGAGATGCACGATGTGAGCAGCCCTCACTGCTGCTCTGCTCTTCTGCAGGACAGAGCGCACGGAGAAGCTTCTTGTTTCTCGGTGTGCCCTCTGCAAGCACTTCATGTGGTTTAGCTGACACCATCGATTTGTGCATGCTGCTCTCTAAAAGTTGAGTCCATTGACCAGGAGCGGTGCTTTTTAAAGACAAGGACATTAAAGCATCCCTTCACTAGACACACAGGCTAAACCAGGCTGGGTATAGGACAGACAGCCGACTACATCCAGGCACCACCTGCGTACAACATGCCTATAGTCCACTCACCCCTCACTCTACATCATATTCTGCCATCTGAAAGAGATGTACGGCAACGGCATTGCCGTCAGAGGGCATGCACTGCAGACACTGAGTACACAACAGGCACCGCGTGCCCAGCACACACCTGCTGCTGATGTTCACATGGCTACCGACGCGCTTCTGGATGCAAGAACACGGAAGTACTGTAGACAAAGGAAAATACAACCCTGCACTAGAGATTTCAGATGAATAGAAGCTGGAGGGAAAACTCCTCCAGCTCAAGCCCCTGCTGCTGAAGCTGTGCACCAAACATTGGGACAGTGCAAGAGCGAAGCAGAGGAGTATCTCCCACTGGTAAGGAATGGTCTGCTGCCACTCACAAGTGATTCATCATCGGATCTGGTCTGAAAGTGGAAAACGCTAAGTATTTTGTAAATGGCCTCATATTTTACAAGCAGTCTAGGCAGATGATGTCTGGCCACAGAGGTCTGGATAGCTTAGGAGTTTCATTCACAGCAGACACACTTCCTCCTGGATTCATCTCCTGGAAAATACAGCAAACCAGCTTCCAATGATCATGCCTTCACACCCCATGCTGCTGAAAACAAGTGGATGACCCTACGAATGACACAGCAATGGCAGACAAGGGCTTGTAAACGCAAGTTATGCTGTCCACGTCCAGGAGATGTGTGGAAATATGCCACACGTGGCCAGAGGTGGGTGGTGGTAGGCATGTTTAAAACGATACGAGGTGGTGCTGAAGAGGGAGAACAAGTCCAATTCTTATTTGCATCTCCCTTGTGCTTGGTTGGTGGTATTTACACATACCAAAGACCTGGTCAGTAACTAAAGTATTTATTTCAGTTACTTGTAAATCCACTGATCGACCATTCAGCTTCAACCACAGCATTCTGCCTCTGGAGATCTGGGCTGCTAGATCAGACTTTTTGCCTTTGCTGTCCCAGGTTCTCCTCGAGGCAATCAGCTGAGACTGAAGCTGCCTCAGAGCCACCAGCTCGTTGTCTAACGAAGGGACTGGGTGCCCAAAGGGCACAGAGCACATCCGCAGAGCTTGGTTACTGTAGTGAACCAGCCACAACCTGGCAGCTAACACAACTGAGACTCAGAGAAACCATGTGCCACGAGCTCCTCTTAGAGGACTGGGCAGGCTCACCCTGCCTGTCTGTGGTACGTGCACCAATCTGACACGTCTCTAAGCAGTCAGACACTTCCAAAGGGCTCTGACAACCAGCTGTGGAGTCATCATTCCCTTCCACAACCCATCTGCCCTCCCTTGTCTTTCCCTCCCTCCTGCAAAAAACACCCCACACAAATCCTCTGCGATGCTGCTCACCCCTGCACCAGCAACCCTGAATCGAGCAGGTGGTCATTTCATCTTGGCAAACAACTGGAAACCCAACAGTTAGAAACACCTGTTGGGCCATGACAAATTGCAAAATAACAAACAAGCCAACAGGAGGAAATGTGCATATAAAAAAAGTTTTCTCCTGGCATATTGTCAGTAAGATGCAATTTTTCCTTCCACAGGGAAGGGATTTGAGTTCTTGAATGATATGATGCTTGGAGATGTCATTACTTTATCATTAAAAAAAAACCCCAACCAATTGAAAATTTCCAACTCCAAACTCACAAGCTGGTGTTAACAGAACAAAGTAAAAGGACAAATCTCCCAACAATGACAACTGAAAAATAAAGGTACAAGTCAGCATTTGTAATCAAAAACTACTACATACTGTACTTGGGAAGTCTTCAGGGAAAAGATCATTGGCATCTAGTGAGGACATCACTAAAAGTCTTGTGCATATGATATGTATGAGACAATGATGCCATTGGAGGGTGGATGGACGGACCCTTAGGAAATTGTCAGTCACAAAACTGTTCCATGACAAGAGAAAATAAGAGATGTAAAAAGGATTGGTTTTCCCCATCCCCACCCCCCCCAAGCATTACAGATTCCTTCTCATTTGTCAGAAACAGCCTCTTGTAGTCTCAGTTTATTTGTTTTTTTTTTTAAAAAAAAGTCTTCAGCTTTTGAAGAAGTCCATCAATTTCTGAGATGCACTTGGTTCCACAGCACCAAAGAGCGTCAGCTCTCTCTCCCCTTTGATATCCTAACAGGGGTTTTCAGGAAGGATTGCCGGGTGCACGACATTCCCAGAGCCGCCATCTCATGTGAGAAAGAGAAGTGCTTCTTGTGACCTTTCTTTGCATTCATTGTCTTGAAAAAGTCTTGTTGCTCCAGAGGTGTCTGGGCCGAGCTGCAGCAGCCTTGTGCAAGAGGAAATAGATGAAGCTGCTCTTTAGACTCCCATTGGTCTTGGAGCCCTTTTCAAGAATGCAATTGCTTTATTATTATTTAAAAATATTTCATAGTTTTTTGTTTTGCTTTGTTTTTCAAAATAGTTGTCTTTTTTTGTTCCCTTTTTCCATTGCTTAAATTCTAGAAGCTCTTGGCGAATTCTCGTTACTGGTGACCGGCCGTTTCTTCCTGTTGCCATGATCCTCAGAGCAGCTGCCTGTCTCTCATCTAAGCAGAACACTCAAGAACTGGAGCTCGGACATACAGGGGCAAAGGGGAGCAGGGCCTCAAGGAAGAGGACTAGGAGGACTCGTAGCTATCAAACCTCCACAGACTGAATTTGGTTCATCTGTGCTCTCATCACCTGGATACTGTTCAGAATTTTCTTCTGGTGTCCTGCTAAAGTGACCCCGACTCGTAGAATGTCCCTTTGGGAAGAAAAGAAACAAACACCACATAAATATCAGAAGACATTTTCTCACAGCAGAACAAGCCCACGTATGAACATCCCCCTGGATCATGGTCGTTGCAGATTTATGGAATAAATGCAACAAATGCATGCAAACCTGGTGAGACCTCGACTCCTTCTCTTTGACTCTTCCTGGCTTATTCTCCCAATCTTTGCATTTGCTCCCTCCCTGCAGCACCCCTAGAGTACTGGAAGCCTCAACAGAGAGTGTGAAACCAAATACCACAGGCTCATTGCTGGTGAGTGGATTTGCCTTAGGTTTTCCACCCTTGCACAGTTTTGTTTCCTTCTTTGCATGTTTGGATTCTCTCTCTCATTTTGTGACACAGTAACCCATTTTTTCCATCCCTGGAGACAGATGAACAGGATGTGCTGCACGCTCATCAGTGTGAATCTCACTCCCTCTGTGCAGATGATGGCTGTTCTTGCCTACATTTGCTTTGATCTGATGAGGTCATGAAGTGACAAACTTTTGCTACTTATCCTCTGTGCTAAATCATGGCAATCTGATTTTTGCACTGTTTCTATTTTTCATATGTATTAAACATCTGGGAAAAACAAAGGTCATGCCAAGAGCATAAGTGTGACTCTGTGTTGGTCCTATTTTTGATCACTTCAGCTGAGTTTGCCACTCATTTCCCTCTTGGTGGATAAATCTCAGTCATGAATTCTTCTGATCAGGGAACAGATGGCATTCATGAGACGTGTCCCACACTTGATGCTAAGGATTTGCAGTTGCCTTTTCTCCTTCCTTGTGTGTTAGGAACAGACTTTTAAGCGAAAGCGTGGCAAAATCCTTGCCTGTTTTAGAGTGGAAGTCAATGGGCAAAAGAGGGCAAACAGGAGCTCCAAGGAAAGGTGGGAAAAAATCCTCTAGCATGAGCAAGCCTGTACGCTTGCTTTAGGGCTTGCTTTAGACCTTGTCTCTTTGTTCAAACAAAAGCAGCATGGAGAAAGCAAGCTGTCCAAGGGGCTATGCCATAGATTTACACATTCTTGCTGGTGGCAATCAACTGGACACCATTGGAGCACGCTTCAGCCCATGCCCTCTGAGATCGGTGTGAGAGTGAACGTTCAAGCCACAGCTTTGCTGTCACCCAGACTCCTGCTCAGCAAAACAACTGGAAAACTGCTAGCACAGTACCCATCTCCAGCACCCGGGATGGTGTCCTTCACAGCGACTGCTTTTCTTGCTGCAAGGGCTTTCCATTCCCTGCTCTGCCCCAGCCAGATGTGCTGAGCTAGGGAATTTTCCTCCTTGGACAAGTCTGGTGCTTGGGCTTCTGCTTTTGTTCTGATTTGGAACAAAGCCCAAAGTCTTCACTCATGTCTGTAAGCCAGAATAAGACTGTGGCCCTGTGCTTCCTAAGCTTTTAGCCCTGAACATAGCACGTTTGGTGGCCCAGGTGTCTCAGCCTGCAGACAAACCAGTGAGAAGCTGTTCAAGTAGGTCAGTGTTGAAACCATGTGGATTCAGCAAACTGAAGCAGTTTCCAGTAAAAATTTACACTTTGCTGGCTAGGTATATTTGAGGAAAACAGCGCCTCATGGGAATTCAGCTCTACTGACGTGATTATCTACTTCTGCAAAGACCAGTGAATGTTGGAAGGTGATTTCAAGTAATGTTGCAGTATGATTTCCCAAGGAAAATGGACTCGGAGTATCGTTCTATTATTATGGCCAGCCAAGCAGGTGAGAAATGTGGAAGGGAGGTTTGTCAAAACTGGTGGGGACGTGAACTGAGGATACCCTTGTGACTGTGATGAAGGCACTTGGAGAGAACTTGGAAGATCTTGTGAGGGACACGGTAAGGAACTGGGAGAAGTGGCTTTTAAGGGACACCGAGCATGTCCATGAAAAAATGACGTCATTAGCTGGACTGCCTGCAGAACTGTTTGCTGTTATATATAGCACAACCCAGGCAGGGTTGGGTTGCGGTGCAGGTGTGATGTCCCAGTTTGATTAAAGTTCTTCTTCCCTGTCCTTTAGATTTTATGGACCCTCTTCCTGTTGTATGAACACAGCCTATAGCGTATGACAAAGTCATTCCCATGGCCTTGGAGTTGTACCACAGATACACTTGAAACACTCAGAATTGCCATGTGAATCTCCTGGCAGCAAATAAGAATAAAAAGTCAGAAAAGGTCAGTTTGGCTGTTTGCATGAATGGATTCTGATTCCTTGGTAGATTTAAAGTCTGGAATTAGGCACCAAATCCAAAACCCCTCCTTGTTACCAGGCACAGAGACATCGTAGCACTTACAGATGGCTTTAATACTTGGTGCTTTCTTAGGCAGGGTTTCTAAAGCTGACTGCAACCAACCACAGATCTTTCACCAGAGGCATCAAAGCCCCAGTTGGCCCCAAGGGATTTGAAAAACCACCAAGAATGGATTTCAGCTGCCTGCTTTCTCTAAAGAACTTGCTAGGATTTTGCCACTGAGGGACGTTTTTAGTGGATGCAGGACAATTCAAAACAAACTTGAAACCATCTGGACTTTCAGAGGCCTTTCTTAGGCAGAAATTTGTTTGCAGCGTGCTTGTCTCCATCACCAATGAGCCATACATCCAAGAGGACTGTGCCATCTAAAAGTGCTCTTGAGAGGCTGGAGAATTGTCTGATGCTGGCCTGAAATATCCATTTGTTCCATGCTGGGGTTTTGGAGACCCTTGTGGGGGGCTTTGCTTTCCCAGCAGGGACATGCAGCACGATAGTGTGGAAATGAATTCTGCAGATACAGAGCGACAGACAGACACACAGTCTGGAGACAAGACAGAGCCTGCAGAACAGAGAAGTTATGCAGAAACCGAATGGACTAAAAGTGGGTCCACAAAGCAACAGATTCTATAAAAGTAAAACTACGTTATGTGAAAATAAAAACTAATTCAGTAATGACCAATCGTTGTTGAACTACTGAGACTTTTCCTTGTGCTTTGGGACTAGAAGCCTGTGCACTTACTCTACAGTCATCTGAGATACTACATCAAAGGTGGTGAAGCCAGCACTGGCAAAGCTCTCCTTGTACTGGCTCATCTTGATGGCATCCAGCCATTCATCCACAGTGTTGAAGCTGGTATAATCCGGGATTGTGCGATCAAGTAGGGGGAGGTTCATCCTGAAACACAGAAATGGGGAATGAACAGAAGAAGCAGCAGCAAGGACGTGTATTTCTGCACCCTCCATAAGCTGGAACGACCTGGATCAGCATCATTCACAGTACCTGCGCCGCACCGTATTAAGAAGTACCACCCAAAAAGCACTCCATTTAACTGAGGGAAGGATGGTGTAGAGCATCAGAGAAATCTTTCTAGATGAAGTCATACATGAGAGGTAGGAGCCATCAATGGGATTTTAGAGCTGCCTCCAAAATAGCTAGGCTAGATTGATGCAAGGATGGTGCCCACCAGGACACAAAGGACAGCAGATCTGCAAATAGAAGCCAAAGGACAAGAGGAAGACAGATACATACCCAGAGGAGAGAGCCATGGCTTTCAGGCTGTTAGGATTTCGGATCATTTTATCTAAGGTGTTGACAATTTGCCCAAATTTGGGTCTGTGGTTTCGATCCTTCTGCCAACAGTCAAGCATTAGCTGGTGCAGGGCATTTGGACAATCCATAGGTGGTGGCAGTCGATAGTCCTGCTCAATAGCATTTATCACCTGCGAGAGGAGAAAAAGAGATCAATACAGTGGCAATAAAACCTACTGAATTCATAAAGTTCCTTTTCTTGAATCCTGAGGGTGACTGGCATGGCCAACCATACTGCAGCGGGGCTGCTCTGCCTGCACTGACTGCTGCCTATCATCTCAGCCACCTTGTCCTGCAGCAATGCACTACTCTCAAACTCCCAGCCCTCTGCTCATGTCATCCTGAAAGGTGATGTCAGCCTTGCTCAGCCAACATGTAGCCTTGCTGACTACTTGTGACGAGCCATGCCCACCAGTCTCCTAATGTGAGAAAAGAGAGCATCCCTGCTACCTTGAGAAAGATGTGTGAGCCCACAGCTCCAGGCAGGAGAAAGGTGAGTCACAGAGCGCAATGCAGCAGCTCACTGGGAGAAGAACATCCCCATCCAGTGAAGGGTCTGGTCATGAGTTATAGACAGGGGAAGCTGCCCCTGTGTTTTCCTTCCTCCAGTGGTGCTTTCTATTCCTGCCCACAACCTAGTCCTTCCAGGCGACAGTGTCGCACCACAGGACAGGGTTGGGTGTGCTGAGACAGCAGCAAGAGCTTGATGTCCCCACAGTCCTGTGTACATGCAAACTGAAGCACACAGTGGGGAAGACCAAGACCTTGGTCAGCAGAGCCAGGCACAGGAGAACTTTGCTGCAGCATGCAGAGAAGGGTTGCAGCACACCTCACCTATGCCACGCTGCGGCTCTGTGGGCCAATGCAAGAAGGCTTTGGCTGCTGCCTGTTTGGTCTCTCCTTACTGCACCACATGAGCTGGGAAAATGCCTGGTCTTGCAATGTTCAGTAGAAACAGTAAATGCACAAGGGCTAGAAGATCTTCTTCAAGGGGAACCCCATCTCCCTGTCACTTTGCACCTGTAGCTCTCTGTTCTCTCCTGGGTAATCAAGGAGGATGGAGCTGCACAGCTTCTTGTGTCATCTACCTGGACTTGTGCAAAATCTTTGACACTGTCCCACATGACATCCTCGTCTCTAAATTGGAGACAAGGATTTGACAGGTGGACCACATGGTGGATAAGGAATTGACTGGATGGTTGCACTCAAAGACTTGTGGCCAACGACTTGATGTCCACGTGGAGATGTGTGGCATTCCTCAGGGGTCGGTATCAGGACTGGCTCTATTTAACATCTCTGTCACTGACATGGACAGTGGGATTGAGTGCCACTCAGCACTTGGCCTCAGCCAACAATGCCAACCTTTGTGATGTGGTCAACATACTGGAGGGAAGGGATTCCATCCAGAGGGACTTTGACAGGCTTGAGAGGTGGACCTGTGCCAGCTGCAAGAAGCTCAACAAGGCCAAGTGCAAGTGAGTCCCTAATGCCTGGAGCAGATAGATGATATCTTAGCACCTTTGCCTGTTCACAGCCTTAATCCAGCCCTTGGCATGCAAGAAAAATCTCTGCATCAATTCTCTGAGCCAAAGGGGAGGGTGTTAGGGGAATGCCCTTCTCAGAAAGGACAATTCCCTTCCTGTTAAGGCTTCATTATCACCTGCAGTTTCAAGCATTTCCTGCAACCAGGTGTCATTGCCCTTCTCCCTGCCTTGGCATTCCTCTGTACAGGTAGCTCTCTGCCATCCCTCTCCCTTGTCCTGCTCCCCTGGACCTCCTCCCTGAATGATCTCTCCTGCTGCAACCCCTGTGCTGTGGTAGCACCGATTCAGCCAGTCGGGATGGCAGAGCCTGTGCCTGTCTCCTCGGCACAGCCTGCTGCACGGTGCCTGTTCCCAGCCTCTTCCTCCCCTCCTTCTGCCACAGGACATTGCAGCCCAGAAGCTGTCACCATTTAATTGCATCTGGTCTTCCCTGCAAAATTTGCTGCAGATTAGCCCCCTGACCCCGGGGTGCGAGCACCTGGGGAGGCTGGGGGGTGAGAGGAGATGGAGAGCGCAGCCAGTGCCCGCTCATGGGATGTGTCTGATGGCAGCAAGGCGGGTGGCTTGT